CTTGTAGACCAGGCTGGCCTCGAACTCACAGAGATCCACCTGCCTCTGCCTCCCAAGTGCTGGGATTAAAGGTGTGCGCCACCACCGCCTGGCTCAAGTCTAATGTCTGTGGATTCGGCAGAGATTAGAGCCCTGGGATGGGCTCAGTGTCGAGGAGGAGACCAAATGTCAGTATGTAGGGAGCATCTAACTGAACCAGCATGCAGCTCCCATGTCTGCAGTAACACCAGCCCCAGGAAAACACAGAGAAATTACTATTTGCTGCTCTGTTGGTTAAGACATTCAGGAGGGCTGGAGAGATGGCTCAGAGGGTAAGGGCACTAGCTGCTCTTCCAAAGGTCCCAAGTTCGATTCCCAGCAACCACATGGTGGCTCACAACCATCTGTAATGTAATGAGACCTGGTGCCTTCCTTGCCAGCAGTACATTGTATGCTTAATAAATAAATCTTTTAAAAAAAAAGACATTCAGAACATGGGAATAGGCTCCAAGAACCCTCACTGGGTGAGATTAATTCATGATCCATGCTGACGGAAAAGGAGGTTCTAAGATGCTGGCTTACACAGCCAGGAGCAGGAGCAACAGACTCGAGGGAGTGTCCTCTCCTGAAACAGAGCCAGCTTATACTTTGCTCCAGCGGGGGCCTCTGTCAGATCCCAGGGTAAAGGGCACTCCTTGAGACTGGGGCGCTGACTGGCAGTGGTAGCAATCACCTCTGCTGCACCGTGATGCACCGTGCCTGCTCCGTGCCTGCTCCATGCTGCACCGTGCTGCACTGCCTCTCGACTCATCCCACCCAAGCATTCAGCCTTGGATCTCCTCTCTCTTTCCCATCTCGGATCCCTTAACCCACTAGTTCCTCCCTCCGGATCCTGCAAGGGCCGTTGGCTCCCTAAGGCATGTTCGGTAGCTGTTTGCTAAAGGCCTGACGAAGACCTGGCAGACTGGCCAAGCAGTCCGATCTGGGTGGGTTTGCCCTGAATCTGTGCCGCTGTTGACATCTCTGCGGTCCTGGTGATGCCTGAGCAGAGGCTCACATCATGGGGACCGCGTTTTGGACTTGGAGACCCTTCAGGGTGAGAGGTTTATTCTGAGCATAGGCTGTGTGCACTTACACATCAGACCACTCTGGATTTGGGGCAGAAGTAGTTATTAAAACTGCTATTAGGGACTGGAGAGATGGCTCAGAGGTTAAGAGCACTGGCTGCTCTTCCTGAGGTCCTGAGTTCAATTCTCAGCAGCTACATGGTGGCTCACAACCATCTGTGATGAGATCTGTCGCCCTCTTCTGGTCTGCAGGTGCACATGCAGACGGGGCACTGGATACGCGCACGCGCGACAGATAAATCTTCTAACACAAGAATGCAACACACATTGCATTATTAAGCAAATGTTCCACGGCATAAACCAATGTTCTACAACGAAAGTTCTTCCTTATCTGTGCTCCAGCTCTGTTGCTTGTCTCAGAGCCGACGGCACCTACAGCGTCAGCCTTGCTGCCTTCGGGAGGAGGTGGCTGTCTTGGTGGTTTAGTTTTGCGGTTTCACTCTGGTGTTATGGGGTATTCACCAGCGAAGCCAATGGAAACTCTTTATTAACCGGCTAGCGACCACACTAGGTGTCTGGGATCCAAGTGTAGCCCTGAGTCTTTCTCAGCGGGAGCTTTCAAGCACAAAACCACGTCCTGGGTTGGCATGCTGCAGTTAACAAGAACAACAATGGCAACTCTGTAGCTTTGGAGCCTGTCCTGGAACTAGCTCTTGTAGACCAGGCTGGTCTCGAACTCACAGAGATCCACCTGCCTCAAGCTCCCAAGTGCTGGGATTAAAGGTTGCACCACCACCACCCAGCTTTTTTTTTTTTTTACAGCAACTGATATAAAGGAAAACATTAAATTGGGGTGGCTTACATTTTCAGAGGTTTAGTCCATTGTCATTGGTAGGAACCAGCCATGATAAGCTCAATATGAACAGATCATCCAAAGAAAGTTCTTTGCTTCCAACCGTTATCACCTGCCAGAGTAGGACTCAGCCATCGATAAATTTAGATGGAGGCCTGAGTCTCAGTAGTTTACACTGAAGCAATACCTGGTCGCAGGAAGAACCACAAGCTGAGATTACCCGACCTCCACCCAAGAACAGACCATCCAAAGGAAATGCCTAATGTTCCGACTGCTGTAGATAGGACCACCTGCCAGCACACACTCAACAGGACACCCTAGACAAATGTCAGCCAATCACCCCTCACCCCCAACTATAAAAACCCAACTCTAACTGAGCTCAGGGATCTTTGTTTATTCCACTATGCTGGACATGTGGAGAGACCGAGTTTGTAACTTGCATAAAATAAAGGCTCTTTGCTTTTACATACAGGACTCCGTCTCCTAGTTGGCTTTTGGGGGACTTCGCGGATTTGGGCATGACATCATCATGGTGCAGCATGGTGCAGACATGGTGCAGGAGGAGCAGCTGAGTCCTACATCTTGACTTGCAGGCAACAGGAAGTGGTCTGAGACAATGGGTGGTATCTTGAGTAGGGTGCACAGGTCGCTCCAAATGACCAGAAGACACAGGGTATGCTTTTGCAGAAAGCCATTTTATTCTCGAGAAAAATCAGCATTCTGGGACCCACCCAAAATGGTGTTCACCCTGGGGAGGGTAAGGCAGCCCTTGAAGCCTACTTAGGGGAATTCGAGCTGCCGTTAAGTGATTGGGTGTAGACCCTTACTGATACAGGAATCATTTTGTGATTGGCTTATGACATCGGGTAAGCAGCTGTGGTTGTGGTGTCTAGGGTCTGTCTGACTGAAGATAGCAAGAACAGTCCCTGCTTGTGACTGTTGTTCCTTTGGAAACTACAGCTCCCAGACTCCTCCTGGATTACGAATACCTGCGCACGCGGGCATGCTCAGGTGCAGGTCATTTCTCCCAGATAACCTTGCGCTTCCCGTTAAAAAGCGAGCTTCCACGAGGTCTCGCTCTCTCTTGCCCTTTACCCTTGTGTATCTTGCACACCCATCCCTTATCGTGTCTCCCTCCCCCCATTAAAGTGCACCCACGTGGGAGCTGCGCTTCTTGTCTCCTCCTTTTGTGCGTGTCTCGTCTATCCTGTGTTCGTCTACACACCCACCCGCCTTTAAAAGAATAATATTTTGGTGCCGTGCGTAATGACTCGGGGACTTCTTCGTGCCGGATTCTCCACCCGAGGCCTGGGCTCTGGGCCTCTGGTGCCTCCCGGAGACCGGGGCCTCACGCCGGACACAGAGTCAGAACCGAGACCTACAGCCACCTCCAGCCGCTCACCACGGCCATCTCCGACTGACACTGCCTAATTCGTGAGTTTACCCCACCGGCTTCTCTTTCCTTGGTATGCCTGGGGAACGACCGGCCGGCTTTCTCTGGCGCGTCCTGGGTTGAGTTGCCTAACCCCCCTTCTCCTTCTCCCGGCCTTGCGCCCCTGGCTAAATTTGGTTCTGACGCCATTGGGAGCTCGGTGCTCTCAGCCGTTCTCTCCCCAGGGTTTGGTGTCCCTGGCTTTCTTCCTCCTTTTCTTCCTTCCTCCTTCACGTCAGGCTCGCTAACGGAGCGG